GTTCCTAATGTTTCGTTGCAAGATTGAGTGCTGTTTATACCCTTGAGTTTTACGATTTCATCAGAAAGCTTAAAGTTTCCATTTAAACTCGATTTTTTTTTATAATAGAGACACTTGCACCTGTGTCGAGTAACAATCGTAGGGGTTGAACCGAAAAATTCGACCTAAAATAAACATGAGGTAGTGATGTTTTCTTATTCGATGTGTTCATGCTATACGTTGGTATTTCTCCTTTATTATTAATTTAATTATCAGTAGGATTAGCATGACTCGAAATTCCTTTTTGAGATGTATATTTTGGATAAGGGATAGTATCATTATGAGAGACAGAATTAGTATAAGAATTAGTACAAGAATTAGTATAAGAATTAGTAAAAGAATTAACATTAAAATTATTTCTAAGACTCTGATGTTGATTCAGAGGTGTCCTGGGATGATTTTCCCGAGGTAATAAATAATTGGTACTATGACTTTGACTTTGTGTAAAAGATGGACTCGGATGTTGTTCCCGAGGTGTAGAATTAGAATAAGAAATAGTATTTTTTAAATTACATGATTTAGTAGGACTCGGCGGCCTTTGACGTCGCTGAGATGTATTGTAAGAATATTTTGTACAATAATTATAACTAAATTCGTTATCATTATATATAGGCTTAGTATAAGATTTAGTATAAGAATTAGTAGAATAGCAATAATTATTTGCGCCTTTAAATGCTTTGGATTTCGGTAGGCACTTTTCCGAAATCAGATTTAGTTTAAATCTTCATTACTAATATCGGCATAAGAGGTAGAAGGTTGTGCGTCACATAAATGCATGCGCACTGGGACTTGGTAACGTATTCGTCGTTCGAGAGTCTGGTTGCATATTATGACGAAGGCTATTGTTATATTGTCGCTTTCGACATTCGTTTATCATATGTCCCGGACTTTTACAATAACTGCATATTTTAATAGGATTTTTTGTTTGAAATATTATGAAAATTAGAATGAGGGTTATTATTTTGTGGATTAACGTAATAAGCTCGACGAGATTGTTTTTTCTTATGATTATAGCAGTTAGAAGAATCATGACCAAATTTTTGACATATAGAACACTGTTTATAAGATTTGGAAGATATTTTGCTCAGAATGAATAGTTTTTCTTCTTCTATGGCATGCGTAATTGCCTCGCTTAAATTTTTCGGGTTTCGACATCTAACAATATATCCGTAATTAGAATTTAGACCTAATATGAATGTTTTGAGGGCTAAATCCTCCATAGCGGCAATTCTTCCTACTAGCTCGGACTTATTCTCGCAACTGTAATGTATGTCGGATTGTAATCGTGTTAAACAAGATTCGATTCTAAGTGAATATTGCATTACTGTTTCCGAATTTCCTTGCCTACAATTTTGGAGTTCAATTAAAAGGTGTGTGGAGTGTTTCTTCTCGCCAAAGGTAGTTTTTAGAAATAGTTTTAATTCATCCCAACTATTAAACGTTTTTAGAGAGCACGCGATTTGAGCTTTTCCTTCTAACTGGGATATGATATAACGATATAAAACTGCTTGCTGTTCCGAGTTCGCGAGTGCTATGGCGTTATCACAATTTGTGAGAAAAGCCGGAAGTGATTCTCTATCACCATTGTAAGGTTTGATGAATTTTACAAGGACGGATAAGGGAATTTTGTCGGACATTTCTATTTCTTCTGGTTTGTCCTTTAAAGTTTTAGCCTTATGCATATGGAATTAGAAAGATTTAGGAGTTAGTAAATACAAAATTGGTAAAATGAGAATATTATTGTACACGACAAATGACAAAAGAATGTGAGGAAATAGAAGAGGAATAGTATAAAATTATAGCTAAATTAAAGTTACCTAACTTACAATATCACGATCACTACGGTGTACATTGGTTGCTATGCCGGTGTCGTGTTGCGATGACGTGCAGCGGAGTCGCGTTGCCGTGAGACCCAGGGAGTCGTTTGACGGCGGCGTCCACGTGGTTGTGCGATGGGAGTGCAGCAGCTCAGGGCAGGCTTACACGCTGGTGGTGTAGACTAACAGCCTTGATGAACTTCGAGTTGACGATGGTGTCCCAAGCTCGTGGGGCTGAGACCTCGTTGGTGCTTTGATGATGCAGGCTCACACTCGTGGGGTGGAGACTTACTGTCGACCTTTCACTTCAGAGTTTCCCAGGATTCGGATGCCACGCTACTGATGTACCGGTAGACCTTGCGACATCCCACTTCTGACACCAAATTTGTTAGGATGGCCGCTCTGAAGGTGTTTTTAAAAAAACTTTTACACCCAATCCCAGAAGTTCTTTTGGTTTATTTCCCCAATATTAAATTAATACAAGAAATGTACAAAAGCCGCGAACGGCGTGTGCGATATGCACTTAATATGGGTTGGAACTGCACTGCCTCGATTACGTCAAACTCTAGGCTTTTATAATAAATATAATAATCGAGTCAGCGCTTTTATCTAACTAGGGTTGGACATAACAGTTCTCAGCAAATGGCAACAGCACCACCACCTCGCGCAGTTCGGTCGTTGCGTATTAACTGGAATCCTGGAATGGAATACGAGTAGGATATAGAAGGAAGACATGGCTTTAACCATGACTCTGGAACAAGAATTGCATGAACATTATCACTTTCAGCTCTAGCTAACATATCGGGATAATGAGCCGAAATACTCTGTTCGTTCTCTGCTCAAAACTGTCGTCATTACTTAATACATCAGATACTGAAAAGAAAGAGGAGGAGCTTTGAATATGATCACTTTCATCAAAAGACATGTTATCCTTACAAAAATATTAAAAAAAATTCAAACAACTGTAAATTATTAAAAAAAAATACTAATAACTACAAAAATATAAAAATTATAAACTAAACCTTTAAGTTAAATTTACTACCTACCAGCTTTTACAGAATAGCAAATAATGCAAATATTTAAAATGAAAAAAAGGTACTACTCATTTATTATTTATTTAACAGTTTATGTACACACATTCTTTGATTGGAAAATGGTAAAAACAAAATTATTTACAAAGGCACTGCTTATTCCATAAAGAAATTTCTTCCAGCAGGCCTATTGAAGGATTGTTGAAGGAAATAGAGGTAGTCAAAGTGTGCACTTTATTAAAATATACAATACAATACAAATACACAAACCTCTATATATACACATACGTCCATACATACACATACATATATATATATATATATATATATATATATATATATATATATATATATATATATATATATATATATATATATATATATCTATAATACAAATATGTAATATATTATAATATATTATAAGAAAAAATATAATTAAATATATTATTAATGTTACATGTATGAATATCTACACATCACGAATTAATCATCAGGGTGTGAATGATAATGCTCTTTAACAAGTCTTTTAAACATAGACACCGACTTATAGCGGAGTATCAGGGTTATGAAGAATATTGAAAAGAAGACAGAGGGAGCCATTTAAGCTGCTTGCGATAAACAGAGACGTGATCGAACTTCTTTCAGCCAAAAATGTATCGAATACATAAATTATGCAAGTGCTCGAGTTTATTAATTTGCTCCTCAGTAGCATCCAAATAGCAGACATCAGCGTAATCTAAAATTGGCATTATAAGAGTCTGGACTATAGATGTCTTAGTAGACAAAGGTAGAAAACTTTGAAGGCGTTTAAGAGAATAAAAGGCGTGAAACATTTTCATGCTTACATCCATAACATGTGCGCCCCAAGTCAAATTGCAGTCGAAAATAACACCTAATTTCTTGGCAGTATCTGAGTAGGGAATAGTGGCACCATCGATTCGTACAGTTCGGAAAGAGGAGAAATCAAGCGTGCTACGCGCATGTCTTTTACCTATTATCAAGGCTTGGGATTTAGTTGGGTTTAATGTAAGACCAAATGATCTCGACCATTTGCTAATCTTATTTAAGTCGTCATTCATAGCTTCAATCGCCAAGTTGGCTTCGGATGCCACAAAATTACGACATAACTGCAAATCGTCAGCATAAAGGTGGTAGTTAGCTGATATGACCTTGGTGATACAATTAATAAAAATGGCGAAAAGCAGAGGAGAGAGGACTCCACCTTAAGGTACACCCGCAGTTACATTTTACCATTGGGAGTATATTTCACCTGAACGAACACATTGTGACCGATCACGAAGATAGGAGTCAAACCATTGAATAACAGATTTAGACACATTAATCGTCTTAAGGATACTTATAAGGATATCAAAATCAACAGAATTGAATGCACTGCTGAAATCTAGTAAAACCAGAACTGTTAAGTATCTATGGTCCATATTCCAACGGATATCGTCAGTAACTTTAAGAAGGGCAGTTGTAGTACTATGTCCGGGTCGGAAACCAGATTGATATGGACATAAGATATTATTTCTGTTGAGAAATGCTGAAAATTGCTTGTGGAAAATTGTTTTTTGATCACGGACAGTAATATCCGTATATAGTAAATCAAGAAAATAAATTAAAATACTTAATTATCCTATATTATGTACATTCAACAATATACAAAAATGTAGAACGGATCGTAGATATGGTACATTGATCATAATAACTTGATGCAAACAAATGGTTGTTACTAAAAAAATATGCATACCCGCCCAAGAGAAAAACAATAAGACAAAACCTAAACTTGAAAATTATTGACGTCGGCGTGTTTTCTTTGGAACATTTACGCTATTTTTCGATGACGATGTTTCTTGTGAAAGTGATGTTTTATTTGAATCGGCAATTATACACGGATATTTAACGGTTAGTTGTTCGAATTTAGTAATAGTTTCATTTTTTGTCTCGATTTGTCAGGAAGGTTGATTAAAATTTTGCCATTGGATGACCAACAGTGTTTAATACCGAAGTGTTTGCGCGCTGCAGTAAATAACCGATGTCTTTTTTTAGTTAAGAACTCGGAAATAGTGATGTCAGAGCTTTTCAGATTGGTTTTACTATCCCAAACGAGTTATCGATGCTCAGTTTCAAAAAACCGAACTAAGACTGGCCGAGTTTTCCCTTGTGCTGATCCAAGTCTATGACATACTTTTAAACTGTCCTTGCTCAAGTCTGTCAACTTTAACTGATTGGATATTATAGAGTAAAGGACATAATGAAGATTTTCATTAGGCTTTTCGGGTATCCCGTGGAATAGCAACACTTTGTGTCGCATAGCGGTTTCGTGTCTATCTAAGCCGAGGCAAAGCATTTCAATTTGGATTTTCAGCCTCGATAATGTCTGCCAAACAAAACATTTCAATTCGGAGAACTCACGCGAAAGAGACGAAAGATCAGGATGTGAAGAATTAGTCTCCGTGCTGGCTTTCTTCAGTTTCTCTTCATAATCAAGCATCCGGGACCCCAACATATTCTCAATTTCTTTCAAGTTGTTAGTTAGCTGAACATCCATTATTAGCGCGTGAAGAAAATCTTCCTTAGTTCAAGTTTTTGGAGAAGAGAAGTAGTCACCAATGAGTGAAGTGAGTTTAGTTAGTACTTATCGCATTTAAACAGTGAAAAGTACAGAGTAAAAATAAAAGATGAAAGCATATAAATAATTAGCACACACCGAATGTGCGTGTAAACGTCACGACTACCCGCGCGATAATCCATATATACCATTCAGATCATTTTTGTATGGACAAAAAAAAATATAACACAAGGTGCTTATGATGAATAACTGAAACCACAGACACTGATATTAAATAGAATTATGTAATGTGAGTAGTACGTTAGGAGTCATTTGTGAGTATATACTCATATTAAACATTAAGTCAAAACCACTTTTATGCTTGCAATAATGTAAACAAAGTACACCTCCGACAAGGCCGCATAAGCATGGATACCTTTGCATTAAAAAAAATACAAGTAAACAAATCGGCATCTTAGTACACCAAGAACATTTAATACTCTGTAATGAGAGGATATTTCTCTAAGGTACATAACATAGTGATTACATACTCTTTACATAATTGTAAAACAAAAATATTTTATTAATCTGTGGTCGAAACCTAAGATTACAGTCAATTAACGGTATCAAATATCTACATTCTTAAATTAACCTAACTTAGAACAATAAAATCAAAACAAAAGATAAAGTCTAAGTTTCAAAGTGATGTAGATAGATAATACTTCTATATAAGAATAGGGATCCATAACGACTAATTTGCTAATTAACTCACATCTTATTTAACACTCAACATTAGACTGGTAAAAAAGAAATAAGGTTATCAAAAGTACAATGCAGAGACTAATTAACTCATATATATATATATATATATATATATATATATATATATATATATATATATATATATATATATAGAATAATTAACTCATATCTTATTTAACAGCCTACATGAGACTGGTAAAAAAGAAATAAGGTTAGCAAAAAGCACAATGCAGAGAGACTGAAATATTGACAGAAATTATAATGTGATAAAAGACAACACATACAGTTTATTGAAGAGAACTAAAGGTCCTATACCACTTAACTTCATTTCTTCACTATCCTCTTGGAGCGCTGAACTACTTTGTCAGTAGATCTATTACTTCCAGCGACTGCCTTCTGTGCTTGGGTAGCAGCAGCTAGTGCTACTAGGACGACTTCGAGCTCAGCGAGGCATTCATCTTTATGGCGCGAACCGTCATAAGCGATAATATGAATATAACCATCCCTAGTCCAGCAATTACTTATGCCAAACTTCTGCCTGGCCACCATGAACATCTTGTGACGATCTTTTGTTAAAAACTCGGACATGGTGACACCCGTGTCTTTCAGTTTTGTTTTTGAGAACCAAACTTGATCACGGACTCGGACATCCCGGAACTTTACAAGGACTGGTCTTGGCTTCTTTTCTATTGGACGTCCAAGGCGATGGCAGCAGCTAAAAGAAGTGTTAGACACATTGGGTATCTTGAGCTTGTCCATTATAAGGTTGCAAGCCATTGAAGATGTAACCTCGGACTTGTCCTCGGGAATCCCATGAAGCAGCAGAATCTTACGACGCCGTCTTATCTCCAAGCGGTCGATCTCTCTCCCCAGACATTCAACCTGTTTTTGAACAGTTTCAAGAGCGGACAAGATAAACTTTCTGAATGTTGCGAACTCCGTTGAAAGTACAGATATATTTGAGGCCACATTTGGACTAGTCTTATTCAAGTTCTGCTGAAACTCATTCATTCGAGTATTGAAGAGTTCTGACATGGCTGACAGTGATCCTTTGAGGGCTTCCATGGTTTCGTGTAGTGTTAGCAAATTAAGGAAAAAATATATCAAGAAATCAAGACTGGTAAACAGATGATTATTACATATTAAACACATTAAACCATTAAAATATCCTAATTTCTATTTTTAAAATATAAATTACGCGAGCCTGATCAAAAACATGTGTTACTTGTTTCACTCCTACCCACGAAAAAAAATTAATTTACCGTTAATTACTACTCGGGCATTTGATCGTGCGTTATAAATTGAGGCTATCAGCGCAAAAGTGGTGTAAGCCACAATTTTTGCTGATTGCGGTTTTGGTGTAAACTACATTCCGTACATTATCAACTTTAAATACAATAGTGGAGTAAGCCACTTTTTGCTATCCAAAAATAGATGGCGCTAAAACATAGTTTTTGCACGGAACGTAATGTAGCAGACTAAAAGAGCAAAACTGGTGTAAGCTGAATACACCACTTTTGCACTATAGAAACACAGGTATGTCTGTGGCTTACGTCGAATCCGTAATATACTGTCAGTCGTCAGCCTCAGCTGTCAAAACGGTAAAATTGAGAGAAACTATACTGAATTTAATTGAAATTTATTTATATTCTAAAATACCCAATTATACGTACTGAATAACAATATTTTTGCAACTAACTATGAACGATGATATTACTTCAGGTAAGTTAAAATAGTGTCTGATTTACTGCAAATTTTAAAAATGTTGAATACTGGGGTATATAACCGTTTTGTATTTTTTATATTGTTAACCTAGTCAATGTTGAATGAATTTAGAGAAACAAGAATTACATCAGAGGAAAGCAGACAGTGCCAGACAAGGGCTACAAGATGATACGGCTTTGGCAAAATCATCTATATTACTGTTATTACCTTTGATTTAATGAAAACCCTACCTACGCCTGTGTTGACGACTGGAATAGTGTATTACAAGAGGCAACTTTGGACTTTTTGCTTTGGTATTCACAACATGGGGACAGATGATGCCTACATGTTTGTTTGGGATGAGTCTGATGCTTCGCGAGGACAACAAGAAATTGGTTCTTACCTGCTTTATTTTTTTAAACAGTATGTGAAAACTAAAAAAGTTGTCATGTATTCTGACCAATGTGGTGGGCAGAATAGAAATATAAAATTGTCATTGTTCTGTCAGTATATTGTATCTCACCCGGATTTTACTATTGAAGAAAAAGACCATAAATTTTTAGTCAGTGGGCATTCTTATTTGCCATGCGACCAATATTTTGGTCTCATAGAAAAAAAAGACGAGTGGCACTCGGGGACTGCCGCGGTAAAGCTATTGCATAGCATTTTGTATCAACTTATGCAATTATAATTATTAATATAAGGACTACGTAAATATTCAGTACAGCAAGATTGGAAGAAAAATGACGTCTAAATATTTTTTCGTATTTAGTTAACGAATAACTAGTTGGTAAATTAATCATGATATATATCTTTTTTTTCGCCGGAGACTAAAATGATATTGCTTTTTTTTGTAACTGCAGATTCTGTGAATTTATTTAATTATTTTGAACAATATACGAAATTTAAGTGACTAAAATTAAATCTAATCTGAACCAGAATCATAAAAACTGTATTATTCGTGCTAAACGAATCTAATAAATATCTGTTATTTTTGTCTCCTGCGAAAAAAAAACAGACTATAGGAATCTATCGAATACCTACATAAACAAAATATCACCTATAAATAAAATATTACAAAGCGGAATAACTAATAAGTGAGGCAACGTCGCACTATACAAAGTAATTGCGTAGGTGGCACAAGTCGCGGGCTCGAACTCATTGGTGGGCGCGGCCAAAAAGCACGTTGTCTCACCTGGCATCGTGCCACTCGTACTAAATTATTAGGCGCTGCGTTATCGTTTTATACTATACCTCTATGGCTCTATAGATACCTAATATAGATTGCTTATTTTATTATGTTTAGTTTTCCCCGGGTGGTCATGCAGCGATCACTCAAGAGTTCACGACGCCGAAGTATGAACTGGAACAGTCATCGCAGTTTATATCCGTACTAGCTGTTGCCAGCGGATTCAAACGCGTGAACTCGAAAATTATCCCACAGGAACGAAAGACCTGAATAAACGGTATCAAATGTGTTATTCCAGACTAGGTATAACCTATCTCTGAGCTAAATATCATCCAGATCCCTTCAGCTGTTCTGGCGTGATTGAGTAACATACATCTATCCATCCAAACTTTCGCATTTATAATATTCAGATAATAATTGTAATTAGTTCTGCCTACCTATAAATTGTTTTCAAAAATACTTACCTGTCTTCTTACTTTTTTTTATATACACACAATATCACTAGATGTAAACACATGTTTTTATCAAGACAAGTGACCCGTCAAGACTGTTTCCTTAGTACCGACGTACTTAGGCAGGTAGGTAGGCAGTTTACATTTTAGTGTCCACGACGCAGCGACAGTTTGTCAAATTTTGTTGTATAGTAGGTTATGGGTATTTAGGTAATAACGGTAGGTAGGTACCTATCCACCGAACCGTCAACGCTGCGCAAGTGATTCTCGTCCCACCTGTCCGCGCAGTAACTTTTTTTACGACCGCGCGAGACTGTCGCAACAAAAACGATTACTACTGAAAAACTAACATAGGTACCTACCTAACATTCAAATAAAAATATTCTCAAAAAGCTCAACGAATTCAGAATTTAATTTTGTTAAAAGAAAATTGGTCAAATAAAAAATAAAGGATGAAAATAAAGCATATGGGGATATAAAAATAAATCTTATTTATTTTTTATTTCGAGTTTTACAAGAAAAGTATAATATTTACTGGAGACAATTATTTTATTATTATAATAGTACATGATATTCCCTTTAAAATGACACCAATATGAATAATATTTTATATCTATATCTATAAATAAATAAAATTGAAGTGTCTGTTTGTAATTGTTTTCCGTCTGTATCTCTCTGGTTGTATTTTTCAGAATTTGGTCCGATAATGCTTTCAAATCTTTGAATTCAAAATATTTCAATTCTTTGACTTTGTATGGTTCCTTCACAACTTTTTTGTTTTCTTTTTTATATTTGTTTTTAGACCTCGCTCTTTTGAATACGTTAATCCAATCCAACATAGAATAGATTGCTGTAATTGTCTGTGACGCTTCGATGCTGCTATGCATCGAATCTGCCTCTATATACGAATGTCCGCTGTCTAAGAACTTTTGTTCAATAATATTTAAATTTGGTATTTTTTGTACTGCCCATAGTAAAATTGCTGCCACGTTTTTATTGCGATTTTGTCCGCCACACGTGTCCGATAACATGCTCACTTCAGTTACATAATTCGGTATGCATTCCGATAAATAGTTGTACAAGATCGTCCCTATCTCACAACTTCCCTTTTTTCCATTAATTTCGGACCATGTGAAGCAATGAGCATTGTTAGGTAAAGCACTTTCATAAATTGTTAAATTATACACTGTCAATTTTCTTGTACAATATAAAAGACCAATGTCACCACTAGGAATCTGCAGAATTGCTTGTAAATCGAATGATACTGACACAAACTCTCTTAGCTTATTAGCTCTTTCTTTATCTTTAGCTTTTTCATTGTTACAAGCTTCTTTTCTAGCCATGTGTTCTCGATATTCCACTTCCAGATTTAGATTACTATTTGCATCTCCACGAGCATACTTAGTGCATATCAGACATTGGTCTTTTTTTGGTTTAAAGAATCCTAAGTTGAAATCGTTTCCGAAAATTCGTCGATATGTTATCTCAGACACAGGTTTGCTATTACGTTTTTCACACTCTTCAACATAAAGAGAGTACATCTTACCGATGGACAGTTTACAATCTAAGTACATGCGCTTGGAATCTTTCCTTATGTAATGACTTTCCATTGATGGAAACGACCTAATGTGATTACGAACTTCTTCTACTTTTTCAGAGGGTGTTTTATTAGTTGGCGCACGACGTCCACGAGGATCGTTGTCTTGTTTAAAGTGGCCGATGAGATCCCTATTCTTGATAGCATTATGTATCACACTTTGGGAAATGCAAAGAGTTTTGCAGAAAAACTTTTGACAGACATTAATAGACATTAATTTTATCTTCTATTTTAAAAAAGCATTGCGTGGAGTAAGCTCTTTTAGTAGTTCGTTTTCTTTCTAACAATAACGTTTTGGTAGTTTTGACTTCCATGTTAGCTAGTAGGAAATTTTTCTGTCCAACGTAGTCTAAGCTCCAAAACCTTCTGCATATGAATATTCTAGCCTCTTCGTTGATTTTATCAGAGCATTCGAACGTGCACTTCGAGCAGTCTATTGCTTTTGGTCTTTTTGCAGGTCTTATTTTGTTTTTTTATGAGATAAACCGAGCCTTCTGCGCGTCTTTTCTTCGCGACATTAACTTTCCATAAAGAAGGATTAGCTTTTCTCCAGCGTTTAACTTGTTTTGCTCTTTTGCATGCCTCATCAAAAATGTCCATTAAAATAATTGTAGCAATCGTAGAAGAATCGTTCAGATCATTATCGTAGTTTTTTTTTCCTATCAGCTTCGCCTAAAGCGTCCAAAGCAAGTTCTTTTAATGTTTTTGCAGAAGTAGAACAACGCCCAAGCAAATCATCAAGCGTGATTAAATGGCTGGCAGAGTCTTCATTATGGGTTAAAACTGTGGAAAAAAAGCGGCCGTTAGTTAAAACATCTATATTATTCTAAGTATTAATTGCGAAATCACAGACAATAAACTTTTTTTTATATCAAATAAATTTACGATTAAAGCTTCTTTTTCTTAAGTTACAGAGAAAAATCTTTAAAAAACCAGCCAAGTGCGAGTCGGACTCTCACTCGAAGGGTTTCGTACCATAAAACGAAAAAAAAAACATAGTTTTATTTTATTTTTATTATTTTTTGTTATAGTGGCAATAGAACTACACATTCTATGAAAATTTCAACTGTCTACCTATTACGGTTCTTGAGATACAGCTCGCTGACAGACGGACGGGCGGACGGACAACGGAGGCTTAGTATTAGGGCCCCGTTGGTTACCCTTCGGTTACGGAACCCTAAAAACCGGCCAGGTGTGTTTGACCACGCACAATGAAGGGTTTCGTAGTTAGTTGCAACGAAGTTAGGCATCCCAAGTACAAACCTAACCGCTTTTTCCTTTTGAGGTACGGAACCCTCATAGATAAACATACTTCAATATTCTTTGGGATTAATTTATATGGGACCCTCAAAGTATAAAAATTTTAATAATCATTAAAACTGGTTCACAATCGGCAAAGATTATAACATGACAAACTTAAGTATAGTAGAATAATTAGGAACCTCCTTCTTATTTGAAGTTGGTTAAAACTTAATAAAAAGCGTAAAGACCTGAAGTATCAGTTTCATTATTTTCTACAAATGCTTGGGAAATGAGCTGATCATATGCTTGAGAGATAAGTTGATCGTCGCCATCGTCGTCGATTAAACATTCTGTAAAATATAAAGTAAATATTTAAAAACCCGCCAAACAGTACCAATGGAATAAGATTAGTGGTAGGTAATGAATTTAATATATCATGTCACCGATTCCCGCAAAGTAATGTTCAAACCATGCAAAGAAACTTACGGTCCCGCGTCCGTACAAACAAGGCATTCGCCAAAAAAACATAATTTATGCATTTTCTCTACAGTAAAATTATAGGTACCTACTACTTAAAGCTTAAAGTAGTAGTAAAGTAGTTTCTTTCTCAACTCGACACATTAATCATAGCTATTAGAGGCTTTTATTCACCTATCAACCACTTTGTAATTGTCTGTAATATAACCTCACATTATCGGCATTAAATGAATTATTGTTTATTAAAATTATTGTTTCACACTACACACACACAATAATAATATTATTATCACTTACACAAGTTACACAACGTATCTAATAAAACAACTTCAATTAATTGTCTGTCGCCGAATTGCAAGTGCACGAATGACAAACAAGTATAAACAACACAGACGCTAGTACCACCGCGCATAAACTGGTTTAATCGTCTTTCGCTGTAGTGATTTCAAGTGGCACTGCCGCCATTACCCTCAGAGAATACCAATTAATTAGTTATAAATATTTTTCATACAAGCATCATTGCGCAGTACACATTATTTAACTGATTTAAACTTTTATAATTGTTTTTACCCGTGGAAAAAAAATCTTTAATGTCGTTAGTTTCTGCAAGAAAAAAAAATATTTAGATCTACGCCTCTTTCGTAGATGAAGGGATTTGTTTAACACTGTTTAAGTCCGTCGGGTAAAAAAAAATAAAACAATGTAATAGTTTGTATCTGCAGTGTGCATATAATCTAACTAAATTAAGTCTTCATAAATGGTTGTTTCTGAGAAATAAAAAAACTAAATTGTGGAACTGCTCTTGAGGTAAAGCCGCCTAAATCGTGGTAAATGAATGTTATTGGAGCAAAATCTTTAGTAGTCATAATTATGTCTGGTTACTTTTTTGTGCATGAGAAATATTCTCGGAAGTGTTCGTAATAATTGATCTTCCAATTGACTATCTCAAAGATTATGCGACTTAGCATTTAATGGGTTTTCGCAGATGAAAGAGCACCAAAAATAGACTAGGATACTACTGTTAAGTCATTTTTCACAAAATTTCGAGATAACTGGTTTTCGCTGTATAACGGCGATTTGTGATAATAATAAAATGTATGTATATAGAGTACTCACTCATTTTCTTTCACTATTATTTCGTGACTTTCTTCATTAATAATAAATGCATTTTGTTCATTCATATTCAAAACACTTTATACATAAACACCGTGTCGAAGACTGCCGAAAAAAGAAACAACGTTAGACAAGGCACGGCCTTCAAGCCACACCTCCGTGCCCGTCGGAGTGGGGAGCGTGAGGTTTTTTCGTTACGGCGGAATAAATTTCTGGATTCGGTCCCCACGCTCAAGGCCCGCGATAGAAGCTATGCAATAGCTTAAAAATAAAAAATTCTTCAAAGAAATTTACGTACCGGAAAACTGGCTTGAAGTAATTAAAACTGCACGAAAAAGGCAACCGTTAAAGATAATAAGAATGACAGCAACAGATTTTCTATCAAGTAAATCCCTCGAAAAAAATATAACCAACAGAAAAATTTCAGTGAGCAGCACCAAGGTGGAGTGGCTAAAAATTCAATGGCTAAAATTCCATAAAGTCCACCCTTTTTATTATATTATATTCCAACAATGAGGAAGCACTCTTTGATGAAGTCAGTGTAAAAAAGGCAGTCAGTGGCCTTAACACAACTAGATACATTGGAAAAACCAATTATTGCTGAAAAAAAGAAAAAAGACCTTCTTGAACTTTTGCAGTTCAACTTTTTATAAAACACTAAAAAGTTCCAACAGTGTCCAGGATGAAGCTTATTATGATGAAACAGATGAAGATTATTATTGTTTTCTTTAATAAACGTGCTCTGAAATGGTGTAACCTGTCTATTATTTTGATTTTGACGTAAATAACATAAATGCATAAGTGGAGTAACCCACATATTTTTCTTTATTATTAGTTTAAATTTTATAAAAATAAACAACTGTTGTCGATTTGGAAGTTCTTTTTATAAATAAAACATTTAAAAACATTTAAAAAAAATAAAAATGTTTTTGCAAATTTTAAATCCTTCCATTTCTCCTATGTGCACTGTCGAGGGTTACACCGCTTTTGCGCTGATAGCCTCAATTGTTTCCTGCTCTCCCAGGTTACGTCTTAGATATGGCCTCATAATATACCTTTTTAGAGGATATGCTTCATCTGCTATTAATACCAAGGGCAACAAGGTATTTGTATTTGGTAAAAATTTAGAAATATTTAAACACCCATTTTCAAACTGACGATACAACACCAAAGCGACAAACGTACCACTATCGCTTTGTTGTCCATAATCTCCTACTTCAATAAATAAAAATTTGTAATCTGGACTTGACTGACTCCGCTTGTAAAACAATGGAAAAAAATTCTTGTAAGTATAGTACATACTACTAGAATTAGAAGGGCATTTCATTCGAATATGTTTACCGTACAACGAACCAATACAATTAGGAAATCCCCACTTTGACCAATATAATTCAGCATTTTGGTGGATCATTTCGTCGGTTGGCATAGGCATATGATGCGATACTAGACTATCAAATATAGCCTTGCAAGTCTCTCTGACAATTATTCCAACGGCACTATTTGACACTCTAAACGAAAATGCTAAAGATCGAAAAGAACGTCCAGTTGCAAGGTACCTGACATGAAAAGGTGCTAAGTCACAAGAATTAAGTACCTTACTATACAACTAATCAATAAAATAACATCAATCTATACTTACCGCAGCGTTATTAGTGGTTCGACTGCATTTAAAATATATTGAAATGTGCTAAACACATTCTAAAATATTCGAAGAACTTCATGGGTTGTAATTTTAATTCTTTAAAAAGGTGATGGTATTCACTTAGTTGTTTTCTGTACATAAATATTTCACTAACCCACACACGCCGATGTCGAATTAAATTGCCGGAGCTGGCTTTTCGGGGGGGGAGGGGCAACTGCAGCCCCGCCCGAGGGCTGGCTGGATGGCCCCGGCCTGGATGCGGCAGCCGTGGCCGCCGCGTACGAGACCGTTGCCGGCCACGCTGCCGTCTTGTTTGCCCCTAGGGGGGAGGGCGCAGGACGATGCCCTCCAGCACGGAGAACCGGTGCTGGAAGGTAGCCAGCTCCTGCCGGACCAGGTTCAGAACCTGGTTCTCCACCGGCACGGGCTGTCTAGGGCGCTGCGTCTGGGGCGCCGCGCGAGAGGCAGGCTCACGTAGACTGCCCAGGTCTGCGCGGAGCTTCTCGTTCTCCTTCTGGAGAGTCTCCATAGCGGACGTCAGGCGGGCCACGTCCGCCCGCAGCTTCGCCACCTCGTCCGCATTAGGCCCGGCCCCAACAAAGTTGGCCTCCGCAGCCGCCATGATGGAGGCGGAGGCCCCGGGAATGGCCTTAAACTTCGAGGAGGGCTTTTGCTTGTAGACCACGACCTTGATCGCGGCCTCCACCTCCTTTACGAATCTGGCCTTACGCTCCACCTCGGAGCCGCCAGTCGCACTCGTCTCTTCGCCTGATACCCAAGCCGTATCGCCCGGTTGGCGCCCCTCCTCGGCAAACTTTGCCGCTCGTTCGGCCCTCTAATTGGCATTCCCCTTGCCTCTCAGCCCGCCCCGCCCGTTGGTGGGGATTTTCCGGGCCGAGACCTCCTCTTCACCGGATGACGGCCTTTGGTCGCCATCCCGCCTGGACCGCTTGCAGAAGAACTTACTGTTCTCCGCGGTCCCAGGCCCCACGCGTCGGGAGCTCTCTGGGCCTCCCACGCTGCTCGATGCGGCGTCGGACTCTGTCCCCGCATCGTTCCTCCTCTCCTCTACGTTGCCGTTGCCGGCGGTTTTGTTTGTTTGTTTTTTTGTTTCCATTTTTGTACCCACGATTATGGGGGAATTAAAGGTCCACCTTGGCAGAGACCCCTGTACCAAGGTAAGCTGATTTAGAGGATTTATTACTCGCCAGGGGGTCTGCAGGTACCCTGGCGAGGAGCGCACTAGCCGCTGATTTGTTCCTAGAACCCCGTCAGCCATCCATCCCCACGCGGTGCGTCGCCGCTTGGGATTCGGAGTAACTGTTCATAGAGGTTTTCTCCCTCGCGGTCCGGGCGATTAAGCCAAGACCCTCGGTCCCTATCAAAGCCGCGAGACTTGATCCACGACACTTCGATACTGGGATTACGAGACCGGCGGTGACTGCAAAGGATGAATCCTTCACTGTCTGCCCGGAGGCAGGGTAAGTGCACACCGAGCCCGCCCTCACTCCTCTGCTATGCCCTCTGCTGATCAGAGGGTCACGCAGAGGAACGCACTGTTGGTCCGGAACGGACCCCCCCCCCCATGTCAGAATAATTAGCCGCGGCAGCAACATTCCCCAAGGAATAGGAATTTCTTCTCATTTCTCGAGGAAGATTACCGCCGCGCCCAGGGTGCACCGGCCCAGTAGCTGCTCTTCCCTCCAGACGTATCGAGAGGGACTCGCAACTGCCAGGCACACGTGGAGGACTTCTGACTTCGCACCCCAAGCGCCCACCTACCCTGACGATTCCATCTTGTAAAAATAGCTTAAGACGTTGAAAAGCGCGACTACAAGTTCTATTCGATTGTAATCTTGTAATTTCATCGGAAAAATGCGCACGTTGAAGTTCAAGCAATACTAGCAACTCGGCACAACTACAATCGGATATAACGATATACGAACAAACACTACTTATTGACTTTTAAACTACAAAGGCTACATTTTAACGACAAAATGATTAAAATGTAACACAGCGTCAGCGTATTGCTGTGGCGCAGCTTAAACTATACTATTTTTTTTATGGAACACTAACAAGCTAAACAAACACTAAGCACATACTAATGTATAATTCTATCAACGACAAACTAATATTTAAATAATAAAACTATCCATTCACAAGTATGAAATTTCTAAGCGACTAAACTATAAGTATTAATAAGCGGTAAAGCTTGTTGCTCGCGAAGCCTCACTTCCTCTCGCCAAGCAAGATTGGCCTCAGCAGGTCTATTCCTTGGCCTCCAGTGACGGCACGATTTCTGTCGCAGCGGCTCGGCGTCTCCATGCGCCGCGACCGTTACCTCGATCCGCGCCGCGCGCGCTTCCGCTAACGAGATCGATTCGAGTCGCGGGTTGCGAAACACATGTACTGAATATGTCACCTGACGGGTTGCGGGGCGACCTAATTTTGCTAATTTGGCCTTGTGCGCGGTGTCGGTAAACCTAGCTCCAGGGCTATCCCTACTCGGCGTTCCCTTCGGCTGCGACGAAACTACAACAGGTTTACTAACAACAGACTCTAACGCCTTGCTTCTCGACCCTTCGCATAATTTATTACCCGAGTTAAGTAAATGCGGGATGTTACCCTCCTCTATTTCCCGAAAATTGCGAACTAACGACTCGAGCGGCTCGACAACCATACAACAATAAGAGGTTGCCGAAATATTATCCATGATAGGGGCGGAACCAACGATGACGTAGCCCAAGACGGTCTCCAGTGCGTAAGGCGCGGTATGCGAGGAGTTGCCCCTGACCTTATTGTGTAACAAATGATGAGGGGAAAAGCGATGCTCCAATGAGCATGTCTATATCTCCGGGGACGGCGTAAGTATCGTCTGCCAGAGTCAAATTTTTAAATTCAATTATTGCCGAGGTGTCAACCGAACAGTTGTTCATCCTTGTTCACATTGACCTTCATTGATTTTTAGTCGTCTTCTCCCAGAACATTTACATTAACACGGGATAAGGCGTCGGCAATGAAATTTTGTTTCCCATTTTTATAAACGATGTCTTAATTGAACTCAGTAAGCCGCAACTTCCGTCTCGTGAGTTTACTGTTGGGTTCTTCGATAGAATTTAACCACGCCAAAGGTCTATGATCCGTGAAAATGGTAAATTTTGGGCCATATAGGTAAGGTCTAAATGTTTTTACAGCTCATACTTGTGCCAACAGTTCCTTCTTGATAGTACTGTATCTAGTCTCTGCATCAATTAAAGTCCTACTAGCGTAAGCTATCGGTTTGTCGGCTCCGATGGCGCATTGAGATAATACTACTTTTAGATCATAATTTGAGGCATCAGTGGTGAGTATGAATGGTTTCGAAAAATTCGGGAATTGGAGAATAGCTGCGTTTACCAAAAGTTATTTTCATCTCTCAAAAGCTGCTACAATTTGTTCTGTATTTTCGATTTTATTTCTTTTTAAGCTATTGCATAGCTTCTATCGCGGGCCTTGAGCGTGGGGACCGAATCCAGAAATTTATTCCGCCGTAACGAAAAAACCTCATGCTCCCCACTCCGACATTTATTACGACATTTCGCATTATTGTAGCGTCCACCACTTGTAAGCAATTTTAATACATTATGACTGCGAATATTGGTCCATTAAACAATTTCAAAGATAGTGTTTAATTCATTTCTTTGAAAATTTACCATATATCAATATACAAATATTCGTATATTGCCAGACGGAGGGAAACCAATCAGGACTCCCTTCCATATTACAAATTATCTAGAATCCCCGTAATATAGATAGTTTTTAATTCATTCTCCTGCTTAAGGTGACACTAGTCGACATTATTTCCATAGAAATTTCGGAGGGATTTTACTCCACTGTTTGACAGTGTACATCAACAGTACATACAAGTGACAGTTAAACATGATATCGTTTTGTCTCATTATTAATTTTGTCTGTACTGAAACAGAATAGTAAAATAAAAAGTCAGTAAAAAGTTACGAGCTATCAAAGATTCGTTTTTATTGCCAATTTTAACACATCTTTGGGCGTAAATTAGTAATAAAAACAGTGTAAAATTTCCAAGACAAAGTCGGTACCGACATAGCTCAATTATCGAAGAATACAATAAATTTTATTTGTAATTGATTTATGCAGTGGTTTTTTCATAAAACCCCCTTCTTCCAAAGGCCTTTTCGTATTTTTTTTACGCGCGCGTGTTTATATGAATTATCGTGCATCTCACTGAATAATGTTTCCCCCGGTGCGGTGCGGGAGGACGACACTTACACACACATGCATGCGCGGTGACGCACGCTTATTCTAGTTTTATTCGACTCAGTCAGCTGCGGCCTGTGACGTTCGTATGACTATAGCTATACCTGCGCTCTAAATTACTACGCTACATTGACCCCTGCCTGAACTTTGGATTTCGATACTACTCTGTTTGGTATAGAAATTGATATTATTGAAAGAGATGATGCGTTTTGGACGGCTGACAAAATTTTAAAATTAGATAGCTTTTATCAGAAATGTGTTTTGCCGGAGCTGATAGATCCCCGTTACCCTCGCAAACTACAATTTAGAGATCGAATGTAAATCAAATTGATATAAGCACAGACAAAAATAGCGGAATATAAATAAAATTTTGAAAAAAACGATCTCAAAATTTTATTAATGTTCCGCTAATTTTATCTGTACTTACCTATGTCAATTTCATTTACATTCGATTATAATTATATTCTCAGACGTGCGGGTTTCCTCAATATGTTTTCCTTCACCGCCGAGCACGTGGTAAATCAGCACAATTGCAATTAACAATTTCATTGGTGCCGGCGGGGATCGAACTCGGGTCTGCATGTCTGAGAAATTAAAAAATATATATTTCGAAGACATGTGAAGTTCGTCAACACGCATTGAGACAGCGTGGCGGACATTTCCTTGCCTTAAAACCCTCTCAGAAATTAGAGGAGGCCTGTGCCCAGCAGTGGGACGTATATAGGCTGTAACTTAACTTTTTTTTTACTTTTATAAATATATTATTTTACCGACGAAAATTTTAAAGAAAAATAAAAAATAAGCAACCGACAACCTCCTAGGTCCCTAGGTGACTTGCGAGATGTCAGTGTAACAAAACAAAACGGCCCAGAAAAACAGACTTTTCAACTGATAGCTAAATCAGCACGCAACAATTTCATTGGTGCCAGTGGGGATCGAACCCGGGTTGCTCCCGTACTGTGATACTTATAACGAGCGCTAACCATGTGAGCAACCACGGCTCTCAACGACATCGTTCCGTTCGTGTACAGCGCTGAAGATAGCAGAGTAAAAAATTAGAGATTGTGGTGTTTGAAATTTGTCATCTATGAGAGTGAATTTTATCTGTGTACTCTGTAACAAATATCTATATAGAAAAAAAATGTGAAAATGACATTTCGCCATTTTTGTTTGTGTACTGGTTAGGAACTCGATCAAAAATTTGATAATTTTTCTGTGTTTATACGTTATTTCTAAAAAAATGTGAAAATGACTATTCGCCATTTTTGTTTGTGTACTGATTAGGAACTCGATCAAAAATTTGATAATTTCTCCGTTTTTGTACGTTATTTCTAATGTTATTTTACATCAAATTAATTGTGAAGATATTTTCTTTTGGAAATATGTATCATTACGACGATTCAAAAACGTTTACATATAATAATTTACCTCGAAATTCACTATACGCGATTATCGTTTATTGATTATATTGTTGCGTGAATAAGTCAACTAGCGCCATCTAGTGTCAGGAACGAGAGCGAGGGGAGCTTTGCAGAAAATGACATCACATATCTCTCAACCGACAGCGCCATCCGAAGAACTAAGTTTCTAGAAAATCTACACTCGCACATTCGTCCCTTTGCGCGCATTTACTTGAATATTCCGGATGCTTCTTTGCTAATTTACATAAATAGGCGCTGCAAGATGCGATCGAGGCAGTATTGGAATTGGCGACACAAGCGAAGCGTCGGAGCGGAATAAAGTGAATTAGTGTGTTTAATTATTAGTGTTTTAAGTTTTAATTTGTGTAAAGTAAATTAAAGTGTTAATTTAGGTAATTTTATCGGCAATTTTTATTGTCACAATATGTTGTTTAAAAAGTATTCTTATCAGTTTTTTGTGTTAAATGGATGCTAAATATAAAAGAATGCTTCAGTATTGATAGCAATTTATTAACGAAATATCTGTTGAGATGTGTCTAAAAATTATTAATACTTATTTTTATTTATTTATTAAAATAATAAATAAAAATAAGTATACATTTATCTATATTGAGTACTAGTTGTTCCCCGCGATCTCGCCCGCGTGGAATATGGATTTCATGGGTTTTAATTTTTTTGCGCGGAACCCTAATTCTTTTTCTAAAGCAAAAGTAGTTCAAGTTATTCCTTATATCATCAGCTATCTGCCAGTGAAAGTCCCGTCAAAATAGATCCAGCTGTTTCGGAGATTAGCTGGAACAAACAGACAGACCGACAGACAGATAAAAATTTCAAAAATTGTGTTTTTGTTACTAGTACATTCATACGCATTTAATAAAATGCTGTTGTTTTAACATTACAAACAGACACTTCAATTTTATTTATTTATAGATATAGATATAAAATATTATTCATATTGGTGTCATTTTAACCCTTTAATGCGCAGAAAAATAAAAGTTATGTAAACATGTTTTTTTCTGTTTAATTGCATTAATGTTGACTAATTATAGCCAAAAAAAATAGAAATTATTATTATTATTGTATACTTTATCAAATATCGTATGTTAAAAATACTCAACATTGCGCGACATATTGGAACATTACCTAATAAATTGAGCGTTGAGTATTTTCAACATTGCCCTTGTATACCTTTACAAGGGCAATGTTGAAAATACTTACGTTTACTAATATATTAAAATAAAAGAACAAACTATAGAGAAAATCAAATAAAGTTTTATTTCTTATTAATTAATCATAGAATAAGTTGGCTAGACACAGCCTTAGTAGAAAAAATCAAATTCACATATTATTACTTAACATGGTAATTATAAAAACAGTTTCTCTTACTAACTAGACACAGCCTGAGGATACATTTTGAGCAAGTAATATTTGTGTACCCATTTTTACAGTATTTGCACCGTCCATACGACACAAACATGGGTAAATGTCCATTGTTGTCATATCGTACAGCATCAGTCGGTTTTGGAGCAGCTGGAGTAATTATTTTTTTAGGAGGATCGTTTTCCTGACTCACTGTCACCCTCGTTCTGTTTTTATGTAAAAGCTCAGATACTATCTGTATCCGAAATTTTTTGAGAGGTAAACGGTCTTTAGGATCAGCATGATCTCTCCTATGTAATAACCAAGCATTGTTGACGCAAATATCCAGAGATTGTGAAAACATGGTCATGTACCACCTCTTAGTTTTAAAGTTTGAACGGTATAGAGCGATAAGCATGTCCGCCAAGTCTACGCCCCCCATATGGGCATTATATTGCTTCACAATCTGAGGACAATTGACCTCCACCCTAGATTCTGTATCTTTGGAATACCTTTGAATCTTTCCCATTGGATGGGAATCGACGAATGAACTAGCCAATGTCACCGGCTTATTGTCATACCATCTGACAACAGCAAGTTTCGTGTCATTGCAGACGATCTGGGAGCTTGCACCCCGTCCTTTTTTTGCGAGAACTTTATCTGCTAGTAGTTTATTTTGACAACCTCTCAAACGATTACTTTTTATGGTACCAAGACTAAAAATACCGTATTCTTGACGCAAATGGTGAATTAGCTCCAATGACGTAAAGAAATTGTCAAAATATACGACTGCAGGTTTATCCTCAATGGTCTTGCAAAGTGCTAGCACAACTTTTGCTCCAAGACCGAGGCTCTCCTCGTATTCAGTAAAAGAATGATTTCTAAACGTGTCTTCTCCACCATAAGGAATGAAATCATACACTAAACCAGAGACGCCTGCTCGAACGAATAACTTCATCCCCCATTTTTTTGGTTTTTTAGGTAGATATTGGCGCCTACTTCCCGCTCTTGTCCCTTTGTATGGGACCATCATTTCGTCGACGCTGTAGCGTTGTTCCTCCTTCATTTTTAAGCAATTAAGCCTAATTTTTTCAATAATTGGTCGAACTTTGTAGTAACGGTCGTCGTTAATGTTGCTGTTGTCGGTGAAATGTAAATATTTCCTTATTTTCTCATACTTTTTTAAAGGCATGATATCAGCGACAGCTGGATATCGCAAAAATCGACTCCAATAATCTCTGTAAGAGGGCATTTTCACTACCCCCATAATGAGTGTAATCGCTATGAAATCTTTCACATCATCGTTTGTTATATTTATAGATCTCGAATCGGTTTGAACTGAATATAAGTTTGTCTGTTCTACTATTAATTCGAATATGTCATTTGAAAAAAAGTCAGTGAAATAATCTAAGATTGAATGATGTGGATCGGGTGAGAAATCGTGTTTCGGTGGTTCAAATATAGCTGCGTACTGTAGTTTTCCTGCTCTGAATTTGAATGATAGAGGTTTTCTTACAAACTTCTTTACTTTTTTTGCCGCTGGGTGTTTAGGTTTTGTGTTCTGTCGTCGCTTTGAACGTGTATTAGGTGCTGCTGGAGACATGTTAGGTGATAATACTGATGAGACCGAATTCAGTGTGAATGGGAGCGGCTGATTTGACGGGCCTGGTGAAAACATTTGGTTAATTAAAGGAGACAAGGGAATTGTTGGTATGTGGAGTATGGAATCATTCATTATATCTTGTGGCATCGACGCAGACGAAATCGGAGTTTGGACTTCAGAACATGGTACTTCAGGTATGTTGCAATCATTTTGTTGAGGCGGAGTTGGCGATGGAGGCGTCGTCGGACGAGAATTTTCTTTGGAATTGGGTAAGTATGACTTGCTTTCATTTTGTAGCTGTAGTGGCCTAGGTGATGGCGTCGCAGGAATCTCATCTTCGGAATGTGAATCTAAGCTTAAGTCATCAATTTCAGAGGGATAAGAACGTGGTTCAGATGATTCGTAGTTGTGTTCTGAGTCAGATGATTGTTGTTTTTTCGGTTTTGTGTAATTATTGATTATAACTTCATCTTCAGATGTGCTGCTGTCATCGGAGGGTGCTTTTGCGGGAGGTACAAGCGCCATAATTTTTTGCGTGCGTTGCCATTTAAGCATTTTCTGAAGCAAAATAACACAAAAAACGTAGGGCATCCAAAACCAAAGCGAAAAATGAACAATAATAGGGTCTCAGATAAGAGGGGAATGAATGTTAGTACACGCGCAATGTTGAATATACTCATCATGTTAAGTTATAGGACAAAACCTAAAGCATTTCGCAATGTTGAAAATACTCAACATAGAAAAAATCAGGTGAATAATAGTAACATTCGCATTGTTGAGTATATTCAACATTCAACTTGAAAACCATCAAACACATACTAAACCACAATATTTTCAGGCTTTTTTTCATTACGTGCATAAAATAATAATTTAAAATTGAAATGCAAGGCAATAATAGGTATCAATATGATTTAAATTGCTAATAATAAATTTTATTTACCTTAGGTCCAAACGGTGCAGATGAACGTGATGCCATTTTGCCGCCACTGTCAAAATCTGACGTTTGTGATACACAACTTTCTTTTTTACGAGTTGCGTTTCGTTTCACCTTTTTTTCAAAGTAAAAATATTTTTTCTACGCGTTCAAGTTTTCATACAGGATTTATTTATTTCGAATGTTGAGTATTCTCAACTTTACGAATTAAAGGGTTAAAGGGAATATCCTGTACTATTATAATAATAAAATAATTGTCTCCAGTAAATATTATACTTTTCTTGTAAAACTCGAAATAAAAAATAAATACGATTTATTTTTATATCCCCTTATGCTTTATTTTCATCCTTTATTTTTTATTTGACCAATTTTCTTTTAACAAAATTAAATTCTGAATTCGTTGAGCTTTTTGAGAATATTTTTATTTGAATGTTAGGTACGTACCTATATTAGTTTTTCAGTAGTAATCGTTTTTGTTGCGACAGTCTCGCGCGGTCGTAAAAAAAGTTACTGCGCGGACAGGTGGGACGAGAATCACTTGCGCAGCGTTGACGGTTCGGTGGATAGGTACCTACCTACTGTTATTACCTAAATACCCATAACCTACTATACAACAAAATTTGACAAACTGTCGCTGCGTCGTGGACACTAAAATGTAAACTGACTATCTACCTGCCTAAGTACGTCGGTACTAAGGAAACAGTCTTGACGGGTCACTTGTCTTGATAAAAACATGTGTTTACATCTAGTGATATTGTGTGTATATAAAAAAAAGTAAGAAGACAGGTAAGGCAGAACTAATTACAATTATTATCTAAATATTATAAATGCGAAAGTTTGGATGGATAGATGTATGTTAATCACGCCAGAACAGCTGAAGGGATCTGGATGATATTTAGCTCAGAGATAGGTTATGCCTAGTCTGGAATAACACATTTGATACCGTTTATTCAGGTATTTCGTTCCTGTGGGATAATTTTCGAGTTCACGCGTTTGAAGCCGCTGGCAACAGCTAGTACGGATATAAACTGCGATGACTGTTCCAGTTCATACTTAGGCGTCGTGAACTCTTGAGTGATCGCTGCATGACCACCCGGGAAAAACTAAACATAATAAAATAAGCAATCTATATTAGGTATCTATAGAGCCATAGAGGTATAGTATAAAGCGATAACGCAGCGCCTAATAATTTAGTACGAGTGGCACGATGCCAGGTGAGACAACGTGCTTTTTGGCCGCGCCCACAATGAGTTCGAGACCGTTCGAGACCGACCGAAAGTGGCACAAGTCGCCACCACGCCACTTGTGCCATCTACGCAATTACTTTGTATAGTGCGACGTTGCCACTCTTATTAGTTATTCCGCTTTGTAATATTTTATTTATAGGTGATATTTTGTTTATGTAGGTATTCGATAGATTCCTATAGTCTGTTTTTTTCGCAGGAGACAAAAATAACAGATATTTATTAGATTCGTTTAGCACGAATAATACAGTTTTTATGATTCTGGTTCAGATTAGATTTAATTTTAGTCACTTAAATTTCGTATATTGTTCAAAATAATGAAATAAATCCACAGAATCTGCAGTTACAAAAAAAAGCAATATCATTTTAGTCTCCGGCGAAAAAAAGATATATATCATGATTAATTTACCAACTTTTTTGTTTTTTTTACTAAATACGATATTTTTGTTTACTAAATACGAAAAAATATTTAGACGTCATTTTTCTTCCAATCTTGCTGTACTGAATATTTACGTAGTCCTTATATTAATAATTATAATTGCATAAGTTGATACAAAATGCTATGCAATAGCTTTACCGCGGCAGTCCCCGAGTGCCACACGTCTTTTTTTTTCAGACCATTGGTGAGTGATTGGATAACTACAGCGAATTCTTTAATGAATTTTCGATAATACCTTACTAGACCCAAAAATCGTTTGATTGCGGTGGCGGTTCTTGGTATCGGAAAATCTGTTACGGCTTGGATTTTGTCGTTATTTTGCTTGAGTCCGTCTTTTGTTATTGTGTATGGCCTAAATAGAGGTCTTCTTTTCTACGAAATTCACATTTTACCTAGGGTAACTTTGAGATTTGTTTCCCGTAGTCAATCTGTTATACAGGACCTCGTAAACTAGGTATAAAAACACTTTTATTACATAATCGGTAATAGTATTATTTAGGAACAGAATTTGTCACAATTTTTTAACTGGCCCGGAGTCGAAACTGTAATGTAATGATAAATAAATGTAATTAATTATTATCCATGAATACTGTTAAGGCTTTTCAGGACTTCGGGATCATCATAAGCTAAGGAGTTTAAGTTAACATTCTTAAGATTAACTACAGGTAAGTTTGATACAATGTTATTATATGCTACAATATTACAACACGAATCATTTAAAATATTAAAATTAGATACAATAGTTTTCATTTGAATTTCACGAGTTTCATGCGGTCTAAAACGAGTGTCCTTACAGTAGGCGATAAATTCTAGGGGTAAGTACAATATACCGTTTCCTTTAAATTCTATTTCTATAACATGAGAGTTATTACATTCAATACTTATTTTAGTTTTTTCAGATATTACAAACAACCTTCTATTATAACGTAGTGGCTGTCAGATTCTAACATGACCATGAATAAATTTGGTTTCACAAATCGAAGCGATTGAGGTAAGTACTTTTATAATAATTTCAGTTTCACAGGGAGGCGTCGCGGAAGAGGAATACAGTATTGGTATTTGACAAAGGTAATGATCATTTTTATTACTTTAAAATAATCTGGATTATCTAATGATTTCTTAAATTTACGCGAACACTACACATTGAATAAAACTATATTTACGGATTTTATCGCGTTTAATCAACTAACTTAGTTTTAATTCTCGACGTTTCGGGTACTTGGGTTTGCATCTATCTCTGCTAATACCAAAATATTTAGAGAATGGGATGATGGTCGAATATGAATCTGGATTATTTTTATCATGAGGGTCCGGTGAAGGTAAGTTATGATATATTATGTTTAAGTGTATAGGATTAATGAGAGGGATTTTTACTGCAAACACTACTTTTTCTTTATTGAAGTAACTAGATATTTTTGATATATTTGTAATAATGTGCATGTTATCGAGATTTAAAGAAACTGGGAGTTGTTAAGATTCGGGTAGGAATCGCTAGTTATTGACCAATTCGGTGTAAATTTCTTTAGGTTTTAAGATAGTGGGATATAGGATATTAGATTTGCTAAACATGATAGCATTAATTACGTCCCTAACTTTGAAGGACAAGGCTACTAGACTATTTTCTATCATGGAAATTAATTCTAGCATGCGGGATCAAATACCTAGTTCCCTTGAAAGGTAGGTCAGATTTAGAATGTCTTGGGACAGTCCATCAATTTCATTTTTCGGGTGGTTTTCATTTAGTTTAATTTTGTACACCGTTTCATTAAAAGATCTAAGCGAAGAAGTAGTGACTAATATATTTTCCTTCATCAATAGGGCTAGTTTCTTTTGGTCTATTTTCACCTCTGCAATGGCATTGTCTTATCGGATGGCATCGTCTTCATTCATTGTGCCAAATAACTTTTTTGATACAGTGCCTACGAATCCTAGAAATGCAAACTTCCTAAACTGGCGAGACGTAAGATGAAAGATGGCTTCGTTATCATGGGCTATATCATTATAACGGGTGTTCAACGGTTCAAAGAGGAAATTAGGACATTCCAAACGATCAAAGACTTTGCCATCATTACATACTTCTTTGGGTTTATCAAGGACAAGACGCAGATTTAGTATATGTGGACTAATAAAGGATACATCATATGGGATAACTACCCTAAGATAACTATCAACTAAACTTAAGGAACCTAAGGGATCGAAGTAATTACCAGGACTGTTCGTCGAGGACGTAATGAACACTTGACCCAGCGCGTAATTACTGTAATAGAATATAATTAAAATTAGTATTATGTGTATAACTAGGGCTACGTTTCAGATCTAGGAGCTAAGTTAATTTCGTCATAGTGGTGCGTCATATGACGTCTGCTTATGAGTAATGTCAAGGTGTTTCTGCCATTGATTTTTACAACCTTATCCTTTCCAAATAGGTGGAAGGGCTTAACGTAAAGGTTGAGATAAACGTAATCTCCGACTTTATACTGGACAGGTCGCGAACTGGTGTCATAATACTGTTTAGATCTTTCCTTAGATCTTTGTATGTTTTCTAAGGCTTTTTCACGGGAAAGTTGTAGACGATGGTTTTTTTATAGGATAGGGTGACAAACGAGCGCACAGTCTACCTGATGGTAAGTGGTTGCTGTGACACATAGACATCTACATCTATTCTCGATTATAAATTAAAATACAGATGCGTTTTCACCCGTGAGGACTAAGATGGAATGCCTAGTTTCCAGTAAAAAGGGTCTCCGGATCTCTCTCACCATACGAAACACAGCAGCATTAAGCTACTATTTTACGCTAGTATTCTGTGAGAGCGTGGTCCTTCCCCGGTTGAGCCGACCCTTTCGTGCTACAACTATACTACTAATATAACTGCAGTATGGCTCTACCTGTAAGGATTTTATATTCTGGATTCGGAGATGTTCTATACATACTGTTT